ACAAGATGAACCCACATCAGCCTAGAGTGTGAGCAAATCTAACAATCCACTGTAAACAAGCTACTATAACTAGTAGACTGATAATTAACTAAGGTGTGACCTGAATTTCATCCTATGTGCCAATTTATAACGATTGGTGTATAAATATCGTCAAACGATGAAAAAGACATGGTTTTGATATGGGAAAAAAAAGGATCAGGCAACTACTGATTGCATGTCATCGATTTTCTGGAACCTAAAACACATAATAAATTTCAGATACAGACTACAGTACAACCAGTTCTTGGTGAATTCTTTGAACATGCGTACAAAAACTTATGCTAATTTTCCTTTTCTGCAAAAATAAATAAATAAACTCAATTCTATGAAAAGAGGAACAGAAGAAAAACAAGAGAGATACAAAACAGGGAGGTCATGTCACTGTCTTCAAATCCCCTCATTCACAAGAGGTAATGGAAAAAGAGAGAATAATACAGATGATAACAGTTGGAGGTAGCAATAGTGGACTTCCATAGAGAATTAGATAGAAAGACGAGAGAGAGAGATAAAACAACTGCTCAGATGAAAACAACAACTCGGCTCATATGAAAACAAAAACTCGAATAACATTTTGATTCCTATAGAACGATGGAAAGGATGAAAGTAACAGAGAGGCAACTGTAACAAGGTACGTACCGTCGTCCATGGTGGCTCTCTTCAACTTCAATTTTTGGTCGCTAGTTGAAAACCCTAACCTCTTCGCTGGTAGGTAACGGAATGATCGACACTGGAGCCCAATCTGAGAAAGACGAGTTTAGGAAATCAAGCTTTCTTTCCTCAAATTACTGCCATCAACACGGTTGAAATCGATAGATGAGAGATTCGGGTCTCTCTCTTTCCACACTCGTTGAAGCTCTATTTTGGGATGAAAAAGAACTCTGAATCCCTAAGTTCAATTTTTTTTTTTTTTTTTCCGGTATATATCTTTAAAGTGATTTTATTTATTGTGCCTGATGTTCGATATAACAAAAAAAACAAAAAAAAATAAATAAATAAACAAATAAAAATAAAAAGTAAACCGGGAAGTGAAATGTTTTTGCCGGGTAGTGAAAAGTTTTTGGTGGGAAGCTAAAAAAAAATTATTGCTTATCTGCGGCGCAAAAAAGATGCCTGTGAAATTTATTTGCGGGCTCTTTAATCCACCGTAACCGTAAAAGAACTTAAGTTCATTTTTTATATATTTTTTAAGTGATTTTATTAATAGTTGTTTGTTTAAATTTTTGCCGGAAAGGGAAAAAAAATTTATTACTTATCTACGGCGCAAAAAAGATGCCTTAAATGTGAAATTTATTCACGGGCTATTTAATCCACCGTAAAAGAACTTAAATTCATTTTTTTTTTCCTGTATATATTTTTAAGTGATTTAATTAATAGTTGCTTTTTACGAGGTAAAAAAAATGCTTTAAATGTGAAATTGATTCATGGGGAACATTTATCCCGTTAAAGGTATACAAATAAGCCGTAAATACATCTAAATATTCACGAGGTCTTTAATACACCGTAAAAATATTTTTCTACGACGATTCCACTAAATCCTCGTGAAAGCATGTCCTATAATGTAACAATTACGAGGATTTTTTTATAAACTCCGTAAATAGTGGTAATCACGAGGCAAAATAAAGAAGTCCCGTAAATACCATGTCGTAGAAGCCCACATTTCTTGTAATTTAATTAACTATAATTTCAAATCAAGGTTTAAAGGTGCGTAATCACTTCTTTAAGATAGTTGAAAACTCGCATGGGTGTAATCGGAATATAAAAATGGCAGCACTATCTTTGTGATTCAACTAATCCAGATTCAACAATGTGAGATATTAATTTTATAATTGACAAATTTTAGTCTCAAAATGTGTCGAATCGAATTGAAAATTTTGTTTTACTTTGAGTCTCGATGTCAGAAAATGGAACAACAAGTGCAATCAATAGGCATTCAACTTTGATGCGTATTAGAACATTGTGTCAGAGAAGGTATGTTGGTGAGGATTACTTTATTTTTCATGTTTGGTAAGTTTTTGGCTTAGGCACTTAAAAAGATTTTCAAAATTCTCTTTACAGAAGTGCATTGCCAAAACGGAACAGGTTGCGCTTTACGCAACCGGTTGCGGTCCTTGTTTTTCAAAATTCTTTTTGAAAGATTTGAAACTGCTAAAGCAAAACTAGTCGCGTTGTACGCAACCGGTCCTGGTACTTGGTTTTTGAAATTTATTTTTGAAGAATTAGACACTGCTGAAGCGGAACCAGTTGTGCTAAACGAACCGGTTGCCCTACCCTAGAACCAATATGAAAATTACAATTTTATTCAATTTGGGATTCCTTTTGATCAGATTTTAGGGAGTTATTTTTGCATGAATTTAACCTGCTTTCCAAGTATTTTTTGGTCTTCCTAATATCTATATAATCTCTCTTTTACTCCTAAATTTTGATGGCTTTTCAAGGAAAAACATTCTTAGATTTAGAGACCCTTTGAGAAATATTTTAATTCAAAAAATCAAATCTGATTTATCTTATTTTATTTTAAGAGCACACACATAAACACAAGAATGATTTGGGGTGATGTTTTCCATCTGATCAAAATTGGGCATATTGAAGATTCAAAGATTTCGAGAAGCAGGATTTTATTTGGCTTCATCTAATTTAGAAATCGAAGGAAAAGGCAGTTTTGATCACACTTTGAAGAAGTTAGAGCATTTATAGAGTGTTCATGATCTACCCCACAATGATGATCAATTAAATATATACAATCACAAAAAAATATAAATCATAAAGTAAAATTTGAGAGATGACACGAGGTTTTTAGCGAGGAAACCTGATTGGTGGAAATCAATTGACTTTTGCAGGCTTGAGCGAAATGGTTCACTATTGTTGAAGTAAAGTACAATGGACTATGTCTCAAGGTCACACCCACTTTGCTCTACTAAGAACCAATTGTTGAACATCTTCAACTTTGCGACTTCCTCATCCAAACACTATTAACTTCAGGCTTACTCCCTTGATCCATATAGAAGATTGATGCTCCGTTTAAAATATTTTCTGTATTTTTTGGTGTTTGGTTGTCAAAAAATATTTACGGAGAAAAAAATATTAAAACGTGACAAAAATAACTTATTCACTAATTTTTAGAGAGCTATTTTACACGTTCCACCTAATGAACTCGACTTTAACCTCGACATAAACCTTTGTCAAACACTGAAAAATAAAATTAAAATAAAATATTTTACCTAAAAAAAGAAAATATTTTTTTTCGAAAATATTTTAGGTCGAAACAAGCGGAGCCTAAATTTATAGGGGTTTGTGCTCAATATTTACTTAATTTTGAGCTGTTTTAACAAGCACACAAACAAACACAAGCATAAATTACATTTACGCAAAGCGTAGAGCACTGAGAAAGTGACATCCCAACATTGTAAACTTAAAATGAAAAATCAAGGAGATTTTATGGTGTCTCAAGGAGAATAATGGTTCATTATTTCTGATAAATAGTACAATGGATTCTAATTTTTTTTTTTTTGGTTTTTAAACTTAATACTTCAATTTCCACTACTTTTTTTTATAGCCGAATTCAAATTTGAAATAACAAGCAACATCAATCATTTTAATAAAATTATCATGTTCTTGTTTTTTAGGTGGTAGTTTACTTAGAAAAGATCGCCTCTAAACGACATTGGTACGTAACTATTAATTGCTTTAGGTTGGCAACTTAATGATCCATGCCCAGAAAAGAAATAAGACTCAATTGAACATAAGACAAAGAAACTAAAAAAACATCAAACCACATTTCATAAAGTTTAATTATAATTCAAATTTAATTAGATATAAAAATTAATTATATTCGGGAGTGTCTTATATTTACTTTAATTTTATATTTTCGATTTGATTCCACCAAACATAATAAAAGTGTTTTTTCAATTCAAATTCACTGCACTAATCAATGCAAAATGTGCACCCGCTTTTTGCACAAACAGCTCAAAACAGGAAAAATACAGTAAAAATATTAGTGAGAATTTGATAGTGAAGAACAAAAAGAGGTCCCCCTTCTTTGACCGGTAGTAGAGAAATGTTACTTTTGGATAATTTGGTTATTTCACAAACAGCTCAAAACAGAAAAAATATAACTAGAAAAAGAAAAAAGAAAAAGCAAAACCAAAATTGGACAATTATTTATTTATTTATATATATTGTTCATTGCTAGTTTCTAGTACTATTCTATGAGTAGTTTCAGTTTTGTTTTAGTGTGGTCCAGATCCTTAGACCAGTGGGATATTTCACTTAAAACCCTTTTTTAACCCCTAGCCTAGTAATTGTTGTTTACCAGAGAGAGCCCACTATAATATATATGGTAATATATATATATATATATATATTTTTCACATATATATGAATTTTTTATATATTTAATATCCCTCCTAAAATTATTAATTAGTTTCTAAAATTATCTGTGTTTTGTTTTTACTCTTTAAATTCCTTTAATAAAGTTAAAATTTCCTTGTTAATAGAAGTCACTTTAAAACTCCACTAAAAAAAAAGTAGATACAATAAGTTTTTTCTGTAATAAAAACGTTCAGTTTTATGTAGATGCAATTTAAAATTAACTTTGACTCAAAATATAAAAATACAGTCTAAAGTATTTTGAAACTAATTTTTTAATAATTTATAAAAAAAACTAAATTTTAATATTTAATAAGTAAAATATTTGACAATAAGTTCCTTATTGATAAACCGTGAGAAGGTTATGAGGTCATAAAAATGTACATTGTGCTGGATTTATCGTTTAAGAAGAGAAGAGCTGGTAGTAGAGAAAGCACTTTAAAAAAGCAAAAGTACTCCCTAGCTAGAAGCAATCTTCCTTCGCAGCCAGAAAAAAAGTACTTTAAAAAAAGTAGTCCCTAGCTAGAAGAGAAGAATAGAAAGCACTTTAAAAAAAGTAGTTCCTAGAAAAGTAGTTCCTAGGTAGAAGCAAACTTCCTTCACAGCCAGAAAAAAGTAGTCCCTAGCTTGAAGCAATCTTCCTTCACAGCCATATTTTATGATCATTTTCCATAGCATATTCCATCTTCATCTGCTGCGTTGAGTTTTGTGTGTGTTTGTGATCCATCTCCGGTTGCATCTCTGTTTCTACAAATTTATAAGCTTCTCTTCTTAGAGGTACCTCACTAACTATACCTTTTAGTTTCTTCACTACTATTAGTTGTATATAGCTTTGATCTCTACTTCTGCTATTTGTTTTATAATAGACCAGCACAGCCTGATTTCATCATCATTTTCCATACCATATTCCATCTTCATCTGCTGCGTTGTGTGTTTAAAACCAGACCTGGTTGCATCTCTGTTTCAACAAATTTATAAGCTTCGCTTCTTAGAGGTACGTCACTAACTATCCTTCCCTTTTAGTTTCTTACTAATTACTACTATTAGTTGTATATAGCTTTTATCTCCAGTTCGCATTTCTTTTATAATATTGATTGGAACATCTTTCTCAAAGATAACGGGAGGAGTTTGATCGAGTCGCAATCTTATTTTGGAGAAAAATATAAGCATAAAAGACAAATGATTGTCAATCGAATCCTTCGGAACATAACACTAATATATATATATATATATGTATGTGTGTATATGTATGTATCTCTCTCAAATTAAAGCAAGAAAGGATGAATTTAATTTGGATCAAAAAGTCGATATGAAATACATTCATTCCATAGCAGTATCAGAAACAACATCCTTCTCGGGGAGCAATTCCACTGCGGTAAGGAAAAAAAACAAGGGGCAAATTACAATGACCTCCAATGAGGTTTGGCATAATTGTAAGTAAGTATGAGGTCTGTCATTTTGTTACAAAGACCCTCTTTAGTCAAATTTTGATGTGAATTTACTTATCCGCCCTTGTTATTATATTGTTAAAAAATCCTAAAATATCTAACTACGTTAAATTACATATTTGCCCATTTTAATTTTAATTTTAAATTTTTTTTCCTTTCCTCTCTTCTCTGTTCCACCTCTCCTCCACCCTAATCCAGACCCATACCCCCACCTCCTCCCCCAAGCATCACCGGCCATAATTCCCCATCACAGCCACATCTAAAAGCACATATATATTTATATATACATATACATGTATATAACCCAAAGCGACAAAGGCCATGGCTTTCTTTTTTTTCTCATCTTCTGTCCCGCCAACCCAGAGCCACGCCATCTCTTTTTGCCACCTTCACCGGCCACCACTCCCATCACCGCCACACCGGCAACCATCGAATTGGGTGGATAGAGAGAGAGAGAGAGAGAGAGAGAGGGTTAGAAGGAGAAGTAGGATTGCTAAATTTGGTAGCCGCTGGCACCGGTGATGGAGCTCACTCACCTCGCAGTCGAATCTGGCAGCGATCCAACCGCCATTCAACGTGTCCTAGATCCAACAATTATTACGGTGAGTTTCACACACACACACACACACACACACACATATATATATATATGCAACAAACAATTTTCAGAGAAAAAGATCTAAAAACCAATCTTCTCGTTCAAACAACCCGAATCCACCACTTCAGTCATCTTATCGGCCATCTAAGCAAACCCTGCTTCAATTCGATGTCTGCCGCTTCCAGAATTGAGGCTCAAGACTGACTGTAAATATCCCAGCAATTTATATATCTATATCTATATATATATATATATATACACACACATTAATAACTGAAGTTCTTAGATAGGTGAGTGAGAGAGAAAATGAGAGGGGGAGATAAAAGGGCAATTTTGTACCTTAAAACAAAGGATTTTTTTTTTTTTTAATTTGATGACACATTAAGGGTAATAGTGTCTTTTTACCTTGTTAAAGGGTATTTTGATCATTTCAACTAAATTTTTTGACAAAAAGTACCAATTTTTGCATGGAGGGGACGTCTTTGCAAAAGAAAATCAAATTTGAGAGAGTATTTGCAACAAAATGACAAATCTCATATTTACTTGCAGTTAAGTCAAACATAAGGGGTTATGTGATTACAAAAAAGTAACAAATGATGCAGTATTTGATAAGTTTTTAATAATGGCCTACGAAGAATCATAACGTACATTAGTACTACTTTATTGGTTATATAAAAAACAAATATAGACACGTTTTTTTTTTTTAGTTAACCCGGGTGTTTGGGATGACACGGACCTTTAAGGCCCCTCAATAACCCGACTAATTCCTGAGGATTAGGAAGAGCACCTCCCCACTCGGGTCGGGTAAGTTACTGTTGTGACAGTGGAGACTAGCCACAAAGAACATCTAGCGGGGCTTGAACCCCAGACCTTGAACTTACTAAGCTCCAAAGTCTAGTGAGTAAACCGCTGAACCATATCCAAATGAGTAAACCGCTGAACCATATCCAAAGTGAATTTTATTTTATGTTTTGATATTTACAAGATATTAGAAATACATAACTGATTCTGAAAAATGAATACCTAGTGATGAATGTCAGAATTGGAAGTGTTGATAAATGAAATTTTAATGCTGATCAGTCCAATTAATCAATTTATCAAATTTTTTTTTAATGTTAAGTCATGAATTACGCTTCATAATTGTAATTAAACATAAACAATGCAATTTTTAAAACACTTTTTTAGGAGAAAAATCAAATAACCCTCCTCTATTATTATTTTCGTTCAGAAAACTCCCACTAAAATTAAAAACTCACTAAACTAAAGAAATGGCTATAAAGTTACCACATATCCGTAATCGACCCGTGACTGACCCGTTTATTAGGTTATGAAATGATAAAATTAATCTTATAATTTAAAACTGATATTTATTATTGTGAAATTATGAAAATACCCTTTATAAGTTGGTTTTCTTCGGCGACATCTCTGGCCAAATTCCGGCTACCGTCGGCTACCTCCCCATCTCGAAACCTTAATCTTCCGCAAACTCTCAAACCTCACTGGAACCATCACCAGAAAGGAGAAAAGGGAAAGTACAGGAGGGGGAAAAAAAAAGGGCCAGCGAACAAGGGATTGCTACAAGCATCATCTCACCCAAAACCACACACATATTTTGATGTTTTATGTATATAAACAGAACAAATGCGTTTCCCAGGCGTATTTAGTAGCTTTCGAGACTTCAAATCATAACTCAATACACATTGAATAAACCCTAGAAGTAGAAGATGATCAAATTAGAACTCATTAATTAAGGACATCAAAGCAGAAGACCGCGCTGAACAAGTCGCTTAATCGTCGAAAAAAAAAAGAAAAAAAAAAAAGAAAGGGAGTAGAGTAAAACAATAGGAAAAGTGTATCTCACAATCTAATTTTGATATCCAAATGACGAATGCACAAAACCCTAAAAATTTAAAATCACCGCAACTATGAGAGCAAGAACGAGTCCATTACTAAACGACCTATCGATTTGAAAGAACAAATGCATTATATGTTTTATATAAAGAGAGATACATACATAAATATATATATGTGTGTGTGTGTGTGCGCGTGTAGAGAGAGTGGGGGAGTTTGCGGAAGATTAAGGTTTCGAGATAGGGGAGGTTTTCGACGGTAGACGAAATTTGGCCGGAGATGTCGTCGGAGAAGAAGACCAACTTATAAAAGGTATTTTCTTAATTTTATAATAATAAATATCAGTTTTAATTTAATATTAAATTATAAGATTAATTTTTGCCATTTCACATCCTAATAAACGGTCCGTAACGGATATGCAGTAACTTGATAATATTTCTTTAATTTAACATTTTTTTAGTTTAGGGAATTTTTAATTTTAGTGAGAATTTTTGAATGAAAATAATAATAGAGGAAAGTTGCTTGATTTTTCTCCTTTTAAAAATCATCTCTCTAACAATTGAATGTTGAATTTGAAAACGTGCAAAAAATGAAAATACACTCCTAATGATAACTTCAATTTTCAACGCATCCAAAATACCCTAAATAAATATGTTTTTGATATTTATTATTACTTGAAACTAAACTTTTGAAAATCACTATTTCTCTTTAATTATATATTAGTTTTGATTGTTTGTTGAAAAAGAAAATAGACTATTTAAAATATTTTGTTTAATTATATTTCCCTCTTTCATGTGTTGTTTATTTTCCCACTCTCCAATTAAACAAATGAAAACCCAAACTCGTTGTATAATTTATTAGGGTTATAATGACAGCACCATATTAGTTTAATCCTTGTATAAAGTAGACATGCAGTTTTGTGACTTTGTCATCCACTCCATAGGTCAACACGAAGAAGGCCCGTTTTATACTATGTTATTTTTATTTTATGATCATTTTATAATTAGAGATCAAATTCAATGTCTAATTTATAGTGATATAATTATAAAACCACCATCACTATTTTTTATTATATTTATGACACATTAATCATGACAGAATATGAAGAAAAAAATCATAAATTGATTAATTGGATTGATTAACACCATTTGTTCTTTAGCCACCAATTTTTATGAACGAAATATATCACCGAGTATTCAATTTTTTAAAAAAAAAAATTATTTATAGTTTTAGCAAGAAAATCAATTTTTTTAGTGGAAAAATAAAAAATTTGAAATTTTTGGAAAAAAAAAATAGAAAAAAAAAAAATCATAAATTGATGATTTCGACACATCAGCACCATTGATTCCTTGGTCAGCACCTTGAATTCCGACATTCATAGCCTATTGTTCATTTTTCAGGAATCTTATTTATAAAAATAATAATTATTTTTAATCTTACAAGAAATTATAAATTATGTATTTTTCTAATTTAAAATAATTCAATTAGGACACTTATTTAAGAACCAAAATATGATTTTTCACTTTAGTTTTGATAAATAGTAACAAAAGAACAAATCATATTTAAGGAATAGTGTATTTATTTGTTCAACCTAATTACTTATGCTAGGGTATATTTTTATTTTATGCACATGTTATAACTTCTGTTAAAATTTTTTATGGAAATTTTAATGATTTTTTTTAACACTGCTTATGATAAAGGGATTTATTATTATGTATGTGTTGAGTATAGCACTATACTATGTTGTTTTCTGAAATTGTTTATTTTTAATTTTTTTTTTTTTTAACTTAGTGATGAAACTAAATGCTCAGGTTATAAGGATAAGATTTCATAAAAACTATCTTTACCATATTTTATTAGATTTTTGAAACATAAATGATGAGTTGATGACATAAAATTGAAAAAAATAATCAAAATTTTATTTAATTTGACCGATCAACACCATTACTTTATTCATTAGCAGTATATTATATTCCATCATCATTGCCAATATTTCATTTTTCAAAAAGTTATATATTTTGAGTAAGGATTTATAATGTCTTTTAGTTAAGAAAAAATTATTAATTGTTAATTTTGTTTTTGTGCACCAAACTTCAGTGGAGGTAATGTGTGTGATTGCCAACTAGGAAAAAAAAAAAAAAAAAATTTATTTTTGTGCAAGTGTACCATTAGGATTGAATTTTAAAAAAGAACAATGATTTCAGAGTTTACTTTTAATTAATTAAATAATTTTATTTTTATTTTTTTAGGTTATTACATATGCGTTAGAGTATAGTAATATACTATGGTGTTTGATGAAAATTTTCTGTTAGTTTATAGGGTATTATTTTTTTTGAATGATCATTATTAGCTTTTATTAGATTTATGAAACATAAATGATGACGTAAAATTGAAAAAATAGTCAAAATTGTATAATTGTACTGATCAGCACAATTACTTCATTTGCCAAAATATTGTCTTAAAGTCATCGTCTTACAGTCATCGCCAATATTTTATTTTTCAAAAAATTTGAGTAAGGATTTGTATTGTCTTTTAATTCATAAAGTTTTAATAATTATCTATGTTGTTTTTGTACTAGGGTACTATTAGGATTGAAAATTTTGAAAGAGAATTAATGATCTCAAAATTTAGTTTCAAATAAATATAAAAAATAAAAATTTATTTTTACTTATGTATTATATATTTGTTGAGTGTAGTAGTTTATCCTATGGTATTTTATAAACATTTTCTATTTTAGTGATGGAATTAAATGTTCAGTTTAGATGGATAAGATTTTTTTTAAAACAATGTTTTCTATTTTTTATTAGATTTATGAAAGATAAATGATGATGTAAAATTTTTTTAAAAGTCAAAATTTTATTAATTGAACTGATTAACACAATTTCTTCATTCGTAAGCACAATGGCCAATATTTCATTTTTCAGAAAATTTGGTAAGGATTTATAATATGTTTTAATTGAGAAACATTTACTGATTTTTTTTGTTTTTTGTTTTTTTGTGCAAAGATACTATTAGGATTGAGAATTTTAAAGAGAAATAATGATCTCAAAGTTTTATTTTCAATTAATAATAATAAATAAGTCACTTATTTTTATTTATGTTATTACATATGTATTGCGTACTAATTTATACTAGTACTATGGTATTTTATGAACATAAAATTAACTTAGGGATGAAATTCAATGTTCAGTTTATAGGGATATGATTTTTCAAAACCATCTTTACTATTTTTTATTAGATTTATGAAACATAAATGATGATGTAAAATTGAAATAAATAATTTAAATTTTATTAATTGAACCGATCAGCACCATTACTTCAGTATATTATCTTATCGCCATTCCCAATATTTAATTTTTTTTAGAATTTTTTTTTTAAGAATTTATAATTTCTTTTCATTTAGAAAAATTTACTAATGGTCTATTTTTTTCTTTTTTACAAGTGTACTATTATGATTGAATTTTTTTTTAAAAAATAATGATCTCAAAGTTTACTTTCAATTAATATGCATGCCATGAGTATACTAATATACTATGTTGTTAGTAATATAGTAGGGTCAAGTGTATAAAACACTCTTTATACTTACAGTACATATCACATCCTTCGCGTGCAAAAAAATACTCCTAAAATTTTAATTTGGTGCAAATAGGTCCCTCTGATAAATTTAAGTCATAAGTTGACTAAATTACCCTTACGAAGCATTTTGCAAAATATATAAAAATAAATAATTTTGTAAAATGATAAAAAATGATACTATTGGAGGATGTCGGTAATGGACAAGTAAAGATAAAAATAGAAAATAATAAAAAATAGAAGTATAAAAGAAAATTAAATAGAAAAATAGAAAAAAAAAAACAAAAAAAAAATGTAAAGTAAAGAAAACAAATCTGCTCAAAACTCCAAAAACCAATGCACACATTTTTTTTTTTTTTTTTTTTTAACAGTGTTGCTATGAAAAAAATAAAATAAAGAAAAAAAATTAGTCAAAAAGAATAAACTAAAATCTCAAAAAATTCAAATAATTTTCAAATATTCAAAAAAAAAAAAAAAAAAAAAAGAAAGTTTAGAGATATATATATATATATATAAAAAGTTCCAAAAAAGAAATATATATATATATATATATATATATATATATATATATATAAGGTAATATGCACATAAAACCTCTATACTATGAAATTAGTAGCATATATACATCATTGGGTATTTTTTGAAGAGTAAGAGCAAAACAAGTAATATAACACTAATTTATGTCAGAGGGCTATTTTTGCACAATGTGAAAAGTTATGGGTGTTTTTTACATACTTTTTCAAATAGTAAGTAAAAGTGCTACGCAGAGTATACTTTAGGGGTGTTTTTTGCACTTGTTATCATGAACTAAAATTAAAAAAATAATCAAAATTTGATTAATTGGATTGATAAAAAATGTTGCTTCATTCATCAGCCTAATGTTGTACTCATTGCTAATATTTCATTTATTAGGAAATTTGAGTAAGGATTTATAATGTTTTTTAATTCAAAAAAAATTATTTATTGTTTATTTTGTTTTTGTACAAGCATATCGTTAGGATTGAAAATTTTAAAGAGAAATATTGATTTCAGATTTTTTAGTTTTAATTAATATAAAAATTATTTTTATTTAGATTATTGTTTAGGCATCGAATGTATACTATGGTGTTTTATGAACATTTGTTAACTTACCGATTAAATTCAAATGTTGACTTTACAGGCATATGATTTTTAAAAACTACCTTTACTATTTTTATTAGATTTATGAAACATAAATGATAACATAAAATTGAAGAAAATAATTAAAATTTTATTGATTGGACTGACCAACACCACTACTTCGTTGGTTAGCACAATATTTGAAAAAGGATTTATAATGTATTTTAATATTTAAAAGAGTTATAATATTATTATTATTTAATCTTTTTTTAGTGTTGGACAGACTTGTAACATTATTGTATTACCTTTTTTTTTAGTGTTGGAAGAATTATAATATTATTATATTACATTTATTTGTGATTGAAAGATATATCATATCATCTATATCAATATTATTACTAAAAGTACAAAAATTTGTATCCAATTTTGAATTTCTATATAATTTTGAGGTTTAATCCTACTATATTCTATATCTATATATATATATATTCTGTACTATTATTATAAATAAAAAGAATTTAATCCAATTTTGAGTTTCTATCCTATATTTATTTATTTTTTAAGAAGTTTTTTTTTTATTATTTGTTTCTATAAAGAGTTTTTATTATTTTTATAAAAGGTTGCCTTATGTAATTTGGAGTTAATATTGTTATTATTAAAAAATAAGAGTTTTTAGTTCAATATTTATTTTTTACAAAATAGTTTTAATTATATTTTTAAAATAGTTGCCTTGTGTAATTTGGAGTTTTATTATTATTATTATTATTATTATTATTATTATAAAGAGTTTTTTTTTTTTTTTTTTTTAAAGAGTTGTTTTATATAATTTGGAGTTATTATTATTATTATTATTATTATTATTATTAAAAAATAGGATAAAAGAGTAAATTTTTATTAATCTTTCTAATGGGATTCTAAATGTGTAAGAGGATAATAAATTGATTTCTCTAAATATTTAAAATTTTAATGACTCGAAACAAATTACTAATTAATTATTAATAATAAAAAAAAGTTATTTTGTTTCCTTTAAATTTTTTAGTTTACCACGTATCACATGTGTCTTTTTCTAGTTTTATTAAGTTTGTGTACTTGGAGAGAGTTAAAGCAATTGGGTAACTTTATTAAAACCTATTATTTTATTAAATTTATATAATTATTGCATTTGGGTAACCTTGTCAAAATTTATTTGGAAAGACAAATATATATATATATATATATATATATATATATATAATGCAGCACATGCATACACCATCTGCGATAATCCAACCACATCGTTATATATATCCCAGATGACGTATGCATGTGCTGCATTTAGTTTTCTCTGTCTTTCTGATCCATCTTTTGGTGTATTGTTGGAATTTGAGACCCCTTACTAGCTCTGTCTAAACAAATCATTAATCTTCTTAGAGTCACGTCCCCAACTATATATCTCTTTTAGTTTCTTCAATATTAATAGGTGTTGATCTTCGTACGTATTTAATTTTATGTCATTTGCTTTATATTTAGGTAAAAAAACAGCTAGGGAGTTGAAAATGGAAGTCATTAATACTGTGGTGGGAAAGATGGTAGAGGTACTTACAGAGCGCTTTTTGGCATCCATGGGCCGCCGAATTGGTTATGTGGTTCACTACAAGAAAAATATCGAGGATCTCTATGCTCAAGTCCAGAATCTTAGAGGCGTGAAGGAGAGGATTGAAGGAAAAGTCGAAACAGCCAAGAAGAATGGAGAAGTCATTGAGAAAGATGTTTTGAATTGGCTTTCGGAGGTGAATAAAAAGGAGGAAGATCTGAACAGATTATTGGCAAACAATGAAAATATCAAGTCATGTTTTGATGTTGGTTCAAGGTATCGGCTTGGTAAGGAAGGTAAAAAGTTGTTGTCTGATGTTTTGGGGCTAATAGAGCAAGCCAGCAAGTTTGATACTGTTGGACGCCCTGCTCCTTTGGGTGATATTTGGTACACAGGTGGTACCACAAAATTTGAGCAGTTTGAATCCAGAGAATCCGTTCGTAAACAGATCATACAGGCGTTGAAAAATGATATGATTTACAAAATAGGAATACATGGCATGGGAGGTAGTGGGAAGACGAGAATGGCAGAAGAAATTGCCAAACATGCTAAAACAGAGAAGCTTTTTGATGAGGTTGCCAAGGCAGTCTTCTCCCAAAATCCAGATTTGAAAAGAATTCAAGAAGAGCTTGCAGACTGTTTAGAACTTTCATTCAAAAAAAATACTGAAGTTGGGAGAAAGGGGGAGCTGTGCAACAGACTGAAAAATGGGAAAAAAATTCTTGTAATAATTGATGACATTTGGAATGACAAAATTAACCTGGAGGAAATAGGAATCCCATCTAGCGATAATCATATCAAAGTTTTGCTAACCTCTAGGGAAGAAGATGTGTTCAGTCGGATGGGGGTTCAAGAAAACATCCCAATTGGGCTTCTACAGGAACGTGAAGCATGGTACCTATTTAGGAAAACAGTTGGAGATTTTATTGAACCTTCTCATGAAGTTTATTCTGTTGCAGAAGAAGTGTGTAGAGAATGTGGTTGTTTACCATTGGCAATACTTGTAGTTGGAGCAGCACTAAGGGAACAGAAACAAAAGCATACATGGGATGATGCACGTGTACAATTGAGAAATTGCAGGGGAGAAAACATCAAGGGAGTGACCAAGGAGTTGTATTCACGCATAAAGTGGAGCTACGAGTTTCTAGAGCACACAGATGCTAGGTCATGCTTTCTGCACTGTTCTTTGTTTCCAGAGGATGCTGAGATTCCAATTGATGACTTGGTGATATATGGAGTGGGAACGAGGTTTCTTATGGACAGCTCACATCCAATGAAAACAGCAAGAGATAGAACAAGTGTGTTGGTTGATAACCTGAAGAAATCTCATTTGCTATTAGAAGGTAAAAGCAACGACTTTGTTAAAATGCACGACATCATTCGAGATGTTGCCATCTCAATTGCATCAAAAGAAAAAGGATTTCTGGCAAAAACAGATGTCCGAGAGTGGCCAGAGAAAAATGAATATGAATCCTGCAGGGTAATTTCATTGAGGTCCAAACAAATTTGTGAGCTTCACTGTGAATTACAATGTGCAGAATTACGCACCTTGGTATTGGAATGCAACACCTATCCTAAACCTCAAGTTCCAGATAATTTTTTTAAAGGGATGAAAAAGCTAGAAGTTTTAGATTTGTGTTCCGTGCGGCTGTCATCATCACCTTTAAATCTGATCAACCTTCGGATGTTGCGACTCTATAACTGTGAACTGCAGAACCTAGATTTTCTCAAGGAACTAAGAAATCTTTTGATACTAAGCATTGTTGATTCTGATCTGAAAGAGGTGGCTGTGGAAGTAGGGCAGTTGACTAACTTGCGGTGGTTGGATTTGAGCCGTTGTGAAAACATCAAGATCATTCCATCAGGTGTCATAGAAAGTCTATCCAAAATTGAGGAACTGTACATTCCACATAATTTTGGGGAATGGGGGGTTGAAGGGAATGCAAGGATTGATGAACTTAATTCATTGACCTGCTTAACCACTTTACAAATTCACATAGGAGATGGCATGCTACTGCCCAATGAGCTCTGCTTTAAGTCCTTGAACAGATTCAAAATATCAGTTGGGAGGACTAAGCGTTTTGGGTATGATGAAAAAGACTTAGGAGCACGGATGTTGAAACTTGATGATATTAGTATGAGGAAGGAGTTCAATATTTTGATTGAGAATGCGGAAGCACTTTTTTTACAGAATGTGGAAGGTTTAAAGAATGTGCTTCAATGTGGAGATGGAAAAGGGTTTCTGGATTTGAAATATCTTAGAATCGAGGACTCTAGTGACATGGAACATCTACTTGGCAGTCCAAAATGGAATTTTCAAAGTCACGGTGCTTTCAACAGATTAAGTGTGTTAGATATTAGACGTTGTAGAATGAAATTTCTCTTCCACGTATCCACGGCAAGAGCTCTTCTACAACTCCAAGAATTACAAATACGGGAATGCGAAATCATGGAAGAAATAATTCTAGATGATGATGAGGAAGTAATGAATAATGTTACTTTTCATCAATTAAAGAAAATGGAGTTGTACGGACTACCAAACCTCGTAAGCATATGCTGCACCAATAGGAAGAAAACGTCAAGCACGGATTGCAATACTTCCGACCTTGCACAAGCTTTCTTTAATGAAAAGGTATGCTCTGTTGCTCAAAACATATTTTATTCATATACCACTTGGAAGTATACTTGTTGTACATAATTAATTAGCCTATTTCAAAAACTGGTATATGCCTTTGGAGTCTCACTTCTCATTCTCTGAATTTTTCACCCTCCAGCATCAAAAGTTTGGGCCTTGGGGCACCATTGGTGTGTTTGGAATCACTATCATTGCTTATATAATACAATACCATGTGAATGTCTAAACAATCTATCTATATATATATCTATATCAATGTCAATATCAATATCAATATCTATATTTATATTTGTATCTATATCTATATCTATACTATTTTATTATTCGAAGTAAAAAGAGTTTTAGTATTTTAGAATTTCATTTATTAATATAAAAATTATTAATTAATTAATTAATTTAAAAAAAGTTTTAAAAGAATTTCTATAGAACTCTAACATAAATTCTCTATATATTATGAGTTTTTATTTTTATTTTTAATTAATATAAAATATAAAATAAAAAACTCAAATTACATATTTATTAATTAATATAAAAGAGTTTATATAAAACTCTAACACAAATTATCATACTAATATTAAAAGTACAGTTTCACTATTTCAGTATTTATTTATTTATATCAAAAATATTTATTAATTAACATAAAAAAAATTTATTAATTAATATAAAAAAGATTTTTAAAGAATTTCTATAGAAATCTAACACAAATTTCTATACAACTTATATTATAAGTTGTTTAGAACAGTTTTTATAAAACTCAAATTACCTGTTTATTATGAGTTTTATATTTTCTTATAAGAGTTTCTATAAAACTCAAATAACCTATTTATTATTTTATTTTTTAAAAAGAGTTTCATTTATTTGTTGAATATTATTCATTGCAAAAATAAATATTAGTGAATTGTAATAAAAAATAGTCTTGATTTTGATATTGTTTTAGGACCAATATTATCATTTTGGCAAATATTATTCCTACGTATATAATTTTTTATATGGCTCCAAAGATTTAGGTTTTTAGCCTTTAAAAAAAGAGCAGACTGTGTGTTAAGTGTTGGTCCATCAAGAGTACATAGAAAAGCTTCCAAAATAGAGTAAGTGTAAGCGAGCCTTTTGTGGTTTATAAATTGATGAGTCCATATTTTCTCCCTCTTTAACATAAACTTAACCTGTATCAAGTACCACAATGATATTATTAAAACACACCTATGATGGAAGAATAAAATAAATAAGAGTTGTTTGATGCTCACCAACCCAGAAAATATATCCCTTGCATTTTGAAGTGATTGCAGTCAAAAATAGTGAAGGGGAATTAAATAAGTTTGTTTGCAAAATTTAGTAATAAAGTTTTGAAATAACGAATTTTGCAGGTTTCATTCCCTGCTTTGGAGGCACTGGAGGTAGGAGGATTGAAAAACATTACAGCAATATGGAACAACCAATTATTCCTAGGTTCGGAAGCAGCAGAAGAATCATCCTTTCACCAGCTAAGGAACATAAAGATACTTGAATGTGAGCAACTGGTAAATGTGATAATTGCATGTCAAACAAGAGAAGGAGAAGAAGAGATAACAAGTGATGAAATTATTGTGTTCCCTCATTTAAAGAATATGGAACTTGAATGTTTGTCAAAACTCAAAAGTTTCTATGGGTCCAAAAAGGCAGCAGTCGAGAATGACAATATTTCCGAAGCACTCTTCAATTACACGGTACGCACTATATATATATATATATATTTTCAATTACATGGTCCGCACTATAAATATATATATTTTTTTTCAATTACATGGTACACACTATATATATAAATATATATGTTTTTTTCAATTACATGGTACGCACTATATATATACACACACATATATTAACTCCAAATTAACAAATATGCAGTATACATAACTTCAATTCTTAATATTTAGAATTCATGCTAGGAACTTGGAATTCAAGCTGTTCAGCCCATAAAGCTTTAATTCTAAAGAAAAGAAAGGAAAAATTTGGGGAAACTCAAGCAATTATTAAACTAGAGAATTTAAAGGGCTTCTAAGTCTTGTGGAACAGAAGCCCAATAACAAAACCCATAGCCCTAAACAATTTATAGAAATCCACATTCTTAGAATAAAATTTGACCCCAAGTACATGGGCTTTAAGGCTGATAATATTAGCTATTTTTGTGAAGCTCCTCTTATATGATAATATTTTCTCAATTGGTGAAGACACATCATCACTATTACATATGTGGTTCTGGCCATGGCAGAACGAACCCAAAATCCAAGATCGCAGACCCACGGCGTCCTGTCGTAGTGGAGGTCGTTGTCCATGGCGCCGTAGTCGGTGACGGAGATGGAGGTAGTTGATTGGGGAATCAATTTTGGGTTTCGTGTTTAGTGAAGTTATGTTGGAGAATTCTTTTAATGAACTAAAACCATCAAAACAGATTTCTTTGTGAGTACTTTTTTTTTTTTTTTTAATCTAAGAAAAAAGGAGAAGAAGTATTTATAAAAATTTAGGCCACATTTATGGTAGATATACATATACACATATATATGACAAATATATAAGTTGGTCAATCACAAAATAAATTTTTCAATAAATCTTAAACAAAAGACTCAAATTACCTGTTTATTATGAGTTTTATATTTTCTTAGAAGAGTTTCTATGAAACTCAAATAACCTCTTTATTATTTTATTTTTTAAAAAGAGTTTCATTTATTTGTTGAATATTATTCATTACGAAAATAAAAATTAGTGAATTGAAATAAAAAATAGTCTTGATTTTGATATTATTTTAGGAGTTTGAAAATATATTGTGACAATTTATATTCATTGGTTATTAATAAATATATCAGTGTGATTAATTTAAAGAATTAAATTTTAATTACTATTTCAAAAAATAATTATTTTCTTACTTCGTTGAATATTAATTTTTAAATTAAATTTTACTCACCTAAAAGCATGTATCGTTTTACTAGTAGACAAATGACAAAAGTGGCAATGTGAATTAAATTTTCTCCGTGTCTATTCTTTTCACTTACTTACAGGACTATTTTAAATTAAATCATTTAATATTAATCTTTATTGCATACAAATTCAACTTGGAATTGAAAACTTGAATGAAAAATTAAACGTATTAATTAATTGTTAAATTAAAGAATTTAAAGGTCTTCTTAGTAACAGAAGCCCAAGAAAGCCCATAACCCTAAACCATTTATAGAAATGAATAAAATTTTTAATAGCCGAATATAGGACCATAAACGATTTTTAAAAGCTTCCGCATAGACCCATTTTCCAACAGCTGGGTCCACAACCAAAATCTGGGAACTCTCAGATTCTTGCTACAACCTCTCATTCTTAATTGTTCAGCCCGCACTTCTTGCCTTTGCATTTACATCTTTCTGCAGGGTTTCATTTTGCCTCTTGGGCTTTGGTTTTTTTTGTTCGTTTTGATTTGCTGCCTTCATGCCCAGGTTGTTCATTTTGCTAGATTCACTGTGTTTAAATATAGCTCTTTATATTTTGTTTTCTTGCTTTTGGATATCACTAGGATTCCTTCAAATATGCGCACATACACTACGTAAAGAGTTTATGAAATTTCAGTTGCTCCATTTTGAAGGAAGAAAACCATGTGATTAAGTCAAGTTATAGACATAATTTTCATCTATATATATATATATTTTGATAGTTAGGAAGCATTGGATTAATAAGTCCTCCTAGAGCAACAATTATAATTGGTTCAAGAGACATTGTCTCAATAACTTATAAAAATGTAGACCACACTTTTATATTGTAGAAGAATATACATACGCGTATATAAATTCGTCAAGAACTGTTTTGCAATTAATGCTAAATGAAATATGGAGTAATAAATAAATAAATAAATAAAATTTGATCCCAAGTACTTGGTCTTAAGGCTGATAATATTAACTATTTGCATGAAGCTCCTCTTAGATCATGAAGCACACTATTATCAGGCTTATGTCCACTCAGTAAAATTAGCTATTTTTGCATGCGGCTCCTTTTAGATGGTAATATTTTCTCAATTTGTTTTACCCATTATATTTAGCTTTGAGGAAATCTTAATTTATTTTTTTTGTAATTTTTTAACTATTTAATTATATGCTAATTTTAAATGAATGGATAATTCAACATGTTGCATTATTATTATTATTATTATTATTATATGTGCAACTTTTTTAATAAGAAGGACCAATATTATCATTTTGGCAATATTATATGGCTCCAAAGATTTTGGTTTTTAACCTTTAAATCAAGAGCAGACTGTGTGTTAGGTGTTGGTCCATCAAGAGTACATAGAAAAGCTTCCAAAATAGAGCAAGTATAAGCGAGCCTTTTGTGGTTTATAAATTGACGAGTCCAAATTTTCTCTAAACTTAACCTAAACTTAACCCGTATCAAGTACAATAATGATATTATTAAAACTCACATATGATGGAAGAATAAGATAAATTAGAGTTGTTTGATGCTCACCAAGTGATTGTAGTCAAAAATAGTGAAGGGGAATTAAAGAAGCTTGTTTGCAAAATTTAGTAATAATGCTTTGAAATAATGAATTTTGCAGGTTTCATTCCCTGCTTTGGAAGTACTGAAGGTAAGAGGATTGAAAAACATTACAGCAATATGGAACAACCTATTATTCCTAGATTCGAAAGCAGAAGAAGAATCATCCTTCCACCAGCTAAGGAACATAAAGATACTTGAATGTGAGAAACTGGTAAATGTGGTAATTGCAGGTCAAAAAGGAGAAGGAGGAGGAGAGATAACAAGTGATGAGATTATTGTGTTCCCTCACTTAAAGATTATGCAACTTGGAGGGTTGTCAAAACTCAAAAGTTTCTATGAGTCTAAAAAAGCAACAGTCGAGAATGACATTATTCCCCAAGCACTCTTCAATTACACGGTACGCACTTTTTATATAGTGATCTATATATATATATATATATATATATATATAAACTCCAAATTAGCAAATATGCAGTATGCATAACTTCATTTCTTAATATTAAGAATTCATGCTAGGAACAAGGAATTCAAGCCATTCAGCCCGTAAAGCTTTAATTCTAAAGAAAAGAAAGGAAAAAATGGGGAAATTCAAGCAATTATTAAATTAAAGATTTCGAATGGCTTCTTAGTCTTCTGTAACAGAAGCCCAATAACATAACCGCGATGGTGAGGTCGAAAAATTCACCCATACAATTAGAATCAAATCCATTCACTTAGGTTAATAAAGCATTCAACTTGTTTAGGAAAAATTCAACCACACAATTATGGTGGAACAAAACAAAAATTAAAAAGAAGACGATCAGTTTTATTCGTCCATGCTAGTCACCTAGTGCTGGTGTTACAGTGCTTCAAGATAGGCTTAGTTGTCCATCGGTAACGAAGAGAATTTGACAAAATATGCAGGCGGTAATTAACATTATCATTACCGTCAACGTCCACCCGCCTTTCCCATAGGTTCTGGCCATGGCAGAACAAACCCAAAATCCAACATCGCAGACCCACGGCGTCCTGTCCTAGTGGAGGTCGTTGTCCATGGCGACGTAGTCGGTGACGGAGATGGAGGTAGTTGATTGGGGAATCAATTTTGGGTTTTGTGTTTAGCCCTAGTATGAATCTGGGATTTTCGGAGCCACAAAGCCAAAAAAAAAAAAAAAAGTCCAAATTATTTGTGCTAGTCACTTTGGAAGAAGAAGAGTGTAGAAGAAATTGCCAAATCAAATGGGTACTGTTATGGAAACTGAGAAGAGTCGATGCAATGCGAGGAAGAGACGAGGATATGATTGTGAAATTGAAGTTGCGATGTGAATTTTAGTTGCGATTTGTGAGTAAAAAAAAAGGAACTGCCTGCTTCGTTGATGCAATGAGAAGAGAAGCAAGATTGACGATGTTGTTGTTGGGACGGAATTCCTGCTATTGCGATTCACTTCGAACAAAAGAAGAATAAAAAGTGATGATGTCTGCAATTTGGGTTTCAATTGTTGTTGTGATGCAATTTGCGATACTGCAATGTGCTCTGAGTTGGCGGCTGCGGCGGTGGTGATGGTGGCGCCCCCACCCTCCTGCCCGTCAATTGCTTCAAAACCGACCCCTTCTGCGGCAGCCGGAATTTGGCAGGAGATGTCGCCGAAAAAGAACATTAATCGAATCATGGTTTCCAAGGAGAAGTTGGGACGACGCCGAGCCAAGTCGCCGGATAATCTCTAATTTGACATTTTATATATATATATAGCTGATAGAACAAGATGCGAGGTGGGTGGAGTTATTTTTGTAATTTCACAATAATAAATATAAGTTTTAATTTAATATTAAATCATAAGGTTGGGCCGGGTATGTAAGAATTTGATAGCATTTTTTTTTTAGTTGAGAGAGGTGTTTAATTTTAGTGAGAGTTTTTTTTAGACAAAAATGATAATAGAGGGAGGTGGTTATATGATTTTTTTCCTTAAAAATAAAAAGAGAATAATATTATTCAAAAATTAAATGGGCCCCTCTATATTGCTAAATTTTCTAGTTTCTACTATATTCATTGATTATTAATAAATATATCAGTTTGATTAATTTAAAGAATTAAATTTTAGTTACTATTTTAAAAAATAATTAGTTGCTTATTAGTAGAAAAAGAGCACGTGACAAAAGTGGCAATGTGAATTAAATTTTCTTGGTGTCTATTATTTTCATTTACTTAGTTACTTGCAGGACTATTTTGAATTAAATCATTTAATATTGATTTTTGTTGCATACAAATTCAACTTAGAATTAGAAACTTGAATGAAAAATTAAACACATTAATTAATTGTTGAATTAAAGAATTTAAAGGTCTTCTTAGTAACAGAAGCCCAATAACGAAGCCCATGGCACTTCTTGTCTTTGCATTTACATCTTTCTGTTCATTTTGCTAGATTCATGGTGTATATTTTGTTTTCTTGCTTTTGGTTATTACTAGGATTCCTTCAAATGAGCGCAGATACACTACGATAAGAGTTTATGAAATTTCAGTTGCTCCATTTTGAAGGAAGAAGACCATGTGATTAAGTCAAGTTCGACATAATTTTCATATATATATATATATATATATATATAGATTGGTGCGGTTAAATTTCGAGCCCATTTAGCTCACCCTTTAAAAAGGCGCTTTTAATTCCAAGCCCGTTTAGCCCTTTAAAAGCACGCTTTTATTATAAAAAACTGCGTTTAGTTGCGTTTGGAAACTATTAAGAACATTTTTAATGATACCAAACTAAGTCAATTATGTCCTTTTTTTTATTTTTTATAAAGATAATTACACTCATTCTTTAATTAAGTTACTATTATCAAGTATGGTAATATTCTATTATTAAAGATTATTATTGTAAAATTAGCAATAAAAATATTTAAAAAACAATTGTTACAAAATAAATTAAAACTAATTTAATTGTGAAAAGTAGCTGCTATTGATAAAAGTGCGCTTTACATATCAACCGCAACCCCAAAGAGACCAAATTGCACAACACATCAACTTCTTGACTTTTCCAAAAATACAGTCTCCATAGATGACTGATAGTGGGGTGTAGTGCTTTTTCTAGCCCAGTTGCTAGTGTGGACCCAAATCCATTCTTCGGGTCTCGTTGGATCTCTCCTCCGGCCCAAGTTGACTATTTGATGCGTTTTTTGGAGGTACAAATCTTTCCATTGGATTTGTTTATTCTTGATAGGATTCATCACAGATTCACAAGTGAGATTCTAATTAAAGATTATTTGTTAAACAACAATTATTTTGATTAATGAATGACTTCATAATGGTAAATTTGATTCTTTCTTATTTTATTTTATTTATTTATTATTTTTTTCCTGGAGAGATTCAAACAATTTTATATATGGAGACAACATTAAGTAATCTACAAAATTGAATAAACTGTTTACCAACTAATTAAATATTGGTATGTGGTATGTGAGACCCATTTAAATACAAACATGCTTGTATTTGCATGAAATGGTAATACTATATTCGTATTGATGAAGTGGTCATAGAGAAATGAAGACTTGAATGTTAATAGAGAGTTTTCTCTTGCTTTCCCTTTTTTCTTTATTCTTTTATTAATAAGGTTAGAAGATTGATGTTTTGCAGGTCAAGTTCCCTTGTTTGGAGAGCTTCGAGTATAAAAGATGTAAAAACAATGTGAAGGAGATATGGGACGGCACGGTTCCAACAGATGCTGTTTGTAAACTAAGGGTGTTGAAAGTGTATGATTGTAATGAACTGTTAAGTGTTGCTCCATCAAAATTGCTTGGAAGTTTCCACAACCTAGAAGAACTTAGTATATGGTGGTGTCGCTCCTTGGAAGAGGTATTTAAGGTTGAAGGAGGGTCAAATGCCAAGGAAGGAATGGTTGCAAGAGATACAGATATAGAAAAAGACTCGGAGGACAATCTTGTGTTCCCTCAATTGAAATCTATATACTTCAGGTTTTTGCGACGGCTGAGGATTTTTTACCGGAGGAGTCGCATTTATGAATTGCCATCCTTAAAACGTATGGAAATATTTTTTTGTCCCAAATTGGAAACGTTTCCTTGCCGAGTCACTGCCCCCTCACAATCATCCTCGGAAAAGGTACGCCATATCCTAAATTGAACATGTTTTGTTTTAGAAATGCCTATTATTTAGTAGTTAAAATTTAAAAATTGACAATGAAGAACACAATGCAACGTTAGTTTGTTATTCCTAGCTTCAGAAGTTGGCAAAGCAAAGCACTTTTTTTTGGTCAAATCTTTCCATAAAGGAAAAAGAATTATATATATATATATATATATATATATATATATATATAATATTATGATATTACTATATATTATGATATGATATGATTCATATTAGAAAAGGTTAAGAATAAATTAAATTTTATGCACCCCTAACATACTACTTTTGAAATTTGACCATTACTAGTATTATATATATAAATAGGCCTTACGTATTAGAAAGAAGTCATTGCATATCTGCATTGACGCATAGTTTTTGAATGAACCCACGATTTAAAAAATTTATGAATGAACCCACGATTTAAAAAATTAAAAGAAAATTTTTAAAAGGAGAATGTTAAGTGCAGGTGTGACAATATTTATCCTTTGAATATTATTGAGTGTTTTTTTTGTTAAATTCACCTGAATTTTATTTTAATAAGAAAGTCCAATATTGAGAAGAAAAAAAAAAATTGTTAAGTAATATATATTATGATATTATATGATTTTAAAATATAATATCATATTATGATATTATATGATTTATATTCGAAAAGGTTAAGAATAAATTAAATTTTATGCACCCCTAACATACTACTACTTTTGAAATTTGACCATTTCTAATATTATAGTTTAAGAAGAATTATAGTGATCTGCGATATATCCAATGGTATTAAACTTTTGATCCAAAATTACCTTACCTTGCCATTATTGTCTCAAATAGCAGCTTCATGTGGGATGCATGTCCAGCAACCCATCCATCACACTTGAAACTCCTTTTAACTGAAAATTTAATAACAAAATAAGTTTTCTTTAATTGATTTGTCTGTACGTTGCTTTTTTTTCATCAAATTTTACCTGCTTCAAACACTACTATATAATCTGTGTAGGTTGCTTTTCCTGTCTTGGAGGATTTGACACTCTCGCATATGGATGGAAGCATCATCTTTGAAGATATTTTGTATGGCCATGTCCCAGCAGCCTCATTTAGCAAAGTTAGAAAGCTGCAGCTGAAAAACTGCAGCGTGCTTGAAGATATTTCTACCTTGCTGCTACAGGGGTTTGAAGTTGTTGAAGAACTCAATGTGGGATTTTGTGATTCATTACAAGTTGTCTTCAACCTTGAAGGACTTGAAGACATCAAAAGAGGAGCCCCTGAAATAACAAAGTTGGACCCCTACCACAACCTAACATCTTTAACAGTTGAATCTTGCAACAGCCTGAAATGTTTATTCTCACTCTCAATCGCAAGAAATCTCACAAATATTGAACAACTGAGTGTTAGTTGGTGTAATGCGATTGAAGAAATAATTAAAAATGAAGATCAAGGTGAAGAGGATGGTGCCATGGATGAAATTGTGTTTCCCAAGTTACAGTCTATGCACCTTTACGATCTACCAAACCTCACAAGTTTTTGTTGGGCAAATAATGCTTTTAAATTGCCATCCCTACAAAATGTTACGCTGAAAGGATGTGACAAAATGCAGACATTCACATCTGGACAGATAAGTACACCGGTGATAAAATTATATTATGAAGATATAGAAGTGAGTGACCTCAATAATTATGTGCAGCAGCGTGCTCAAGAAAGGAAGGGTAAAATATGGAAATGACATGAAACTTTGATAAGAGATTATATATATATATATTCTTTTTCCTACATAGTAGTGACAAACTATTTTTTTTATTATAAATATTATGAAGTTTTATCCACTTGTGTTTAATTCAGGGATTGCGATGTATAAGGATGATGAAGAAACAAGTATTGGCAAAGAAAAAGAGTCTGGAAACCATGATGAAGAAGATATTTTGGCAAATGAGTAAAATTAAGGTAATTCTATCTTTTAATTTTTATTTTTCTGCATCTCACAGGTTTGGAAAGGTGGGGAATCTGCTATTTTTTAAATTTCAAATTGATAATGTGTGCTGTCAAATCTTCATTCAACTTAACTTTTTTAACCTTTTCGAATATGAATCAAAGTACAAGATAATGTGTGCTGTCAAATCTTTACCAAAGAAGGGGAAAATAAATAAAAATAAAAAAAATCCTTAGATTGTGCTAGAAATTTGATCACCTATTTAACGAAAAAAAATAATAAGAAGAAGAAGACGACATTTTGGTCACTTAGATTTAACTACATTTTAAGAGGTTTCCTTTTTTTCTTGTTTTTTTCCCCTAGTGTTTTTCACATGGTTGTGGATGGAACTGAGGTTTAAAATTCTGAATTAAACGAACAGAAAGAGGTGGATTCCTTCAACGTCATTTTTACTACCTGAATCACGTTTTGACCATTTCTTTGTGTCAAACTTTATATGTTATGAAAAAAAAATAAAAAAAATAAAAAAATAAAAAAAACTTCATATATTATGAAAAAAATGACCACATGGATAACCACATTTTTTCTAGTTTCTACTATATTATTTACCACCTTATTAGGACAGTAGGATTTAGGTTGGCAAATTTGGTGTCTAAATTTTGAGTTTGTAATATATTTTTAGTTTGAATTTAAAAAGTCAGTGTCTAATTAGTTGCTGGATTAATCAACTACTATTTAAAAAAAAATAACATACAGGGAATGCATGAATCATACGTATTCACATCCACACTAGATTGGTGAGTAAACATATATGTGTTAGATTAACATATTTGGTGAATCTGATTGATTTTTTTTTTTTTTTTCAGTGATCATTTTTGGACAGGCTAGTATTTGGAAGTGGAAGTAATTTTACTACAGTTACCATCCAAGTGACTGAAGTAAAAAGGTGGCGGATCCAATCCTTTGGGTTCTCTCTTGCTACTGCCAAGAAAACATAATGGCCTTCAATTCAAGGGGCACCAAATGCTGACATGCAATTTATTTGGGGACACCAAAATTGGAAGTTTCATATATGATTTATTGTTTGTTTTCTCCCATATTCTTTTTCTGCTCGAGTGTGAATACCGTTGGTGTGTTTTGCTGAAGATTGTTTAGCTATGGTTGAACTGTATTTTATTTATTTATTTTGGTATGGAGTTATGGTTGAAATATGTTTGTGTTACATGATCAGCTGAACCATTTCTAGTGTTTTGTGTGGATGCATGCTTCTTCTTCTTCTTCTTTTTTCTTTTTTTTTTTTTTTAAGTAAAAATATATTAGAAAGTGTCCAACAAAACCTGTTCCGCTTCCCCCCATCCAAGGATCTTTTTTTTCGCTTTTGCCAAACGCACAACAAACACAGAAGGGTGCCACCCTCCAAAAATCAAGTGCGTGGGATCACACGAAACACCCTCTCCAAGCGTCAATTCGAAGACACCAAACAAGTCAAAAATAAGACTCCACTAACTGAAAATGATGGATGTATGTTATCCGTCGCCCTCAGATTTTTCAACCGGAGAAAAATCTAACCGACGACTATGGAAAGAGGTCAATTAATTTGTTTTGGAATATCCATCTAACATTGAGTTTTTAAGTGTTAGGTCACCTAAGGATGTGCAAGGACTTTAAAGAATTTCCAACTATCAGCAACGCTTTAGTGATGGGAGTACAAGTCATTACAAACATTTGCACGGTTATTTCAGTAATTTTAACCGGGAAGACTGGTTTTTCAAAAGGTTTTCGTCTGAGGATGGAAACGTGAGGAGGTCAGGATAATTCACTCATATAATTTTAAATGTACAACTTTAAGTAATCTATATTAGAAAATGTGCATGGATAGTATTTTAATAGGCAGGGAGGGAGAGAGAAACCATCCTAGAAAGGGATAATAGAAATATTTGAAACAATTTTCCTAAAAGGAAGCACTCAGATGCAAATACATATCCATCTATGTGGACAAATTTCTTGCTCACCGTTGAGCAAGAGATCATTTCCGTATGTCCGGATATATATATATATATATATATATATATATATAATTAAAATAAAAAGTTAAAAATTATTTTGTTCAAGGAAAAAATGCCTTTTTTTTCATGACAAATAACTCACATCCGCTCTTCATATATTCTTTTTCACCAGATTTGAATTCACATGTTAAGCATCATCTTGGTGAAGGAAACTCTTGCCCCCTTATCAATGCATTTGTGCATAGAGGGTACCACCCATAATTATGTAAGACTTCTTCATCATTTATTCATGTTCCCTATTACTCAAATTATAAGAGTAGTTCTATAAAATCAAAAACAATTTACCCAAAAAAATAAATTAAAGCAAAAACAAACATACTACAGTAATCAATATAAATATGTATATATATAAGCACAAATATACAAATGAAGGTATTATCATGGCACTGATAGGGTAGCAAGGTTCAGTACACAAAAGCCTATGACAACAAATAAGAAAGCCGAATAGACAATGCAACACAAACCAATTAGATTTATCGGGAGTTTTATAGAACCTGCCTGCTAAATACTGATATTTAAAATCCATTTTTATGTTCATAATCGCGATAGCTTAATCCAAGCTACATTGCCCTTCAAGTATGCAAGGTATATCTATTCATTTCAAAAGGTAAAAACAAGCATAAAAACAGAAGCATTCAAATTGAAAGTTAAACCTTAGGTCAAGAAACATAGCACAACAATAAGACCAGGATGATACTCCATAAAACTGCCACTTAGAAAAGATAAGTCCCCTTCCCCTTCTTATCTCCACCAATCTCAAAATGCTTGCACCTCTGCAATAGAAGGGCAAAAATCACATGTCCATAAAGAACAAGAAAGCAACACTCAAGGAATCGAAAACAAAAGAGCAAATGGAAGTTGAGAAGCTAACCTTGATTGGGTGCTGTGATACATGCTTGCACCCCTGGCATTGCAGCCTTAGCACAATCTTCTTTGTAGTTTTTGCCGACACAAAGAAAGCAATGTTGCCAAAATTAAACTCAATGAAGACAAAGAAATTCTTAATTAATGGATTCTCAAATATATGTATTGTTTTTGGGTGTTTGCTCATCAGATTTAATGGAGTGCAGGGGGCAATGTTCTCACCTCCAAATATATACATAGATATACACATACGCAATGCTGCCAGAAAGCCCAGGTCACCCAAACCATGTTCGCACTATACGTGAATTATCTGGAATCAAGAGTCTCAAAGTTGCAAGATTAGAGTAGATTTCGATTCTTTCAGTTGTTATGTTGCGATGGAATGAGCAAGGCCTAGTGTTTCAACAAGTGACAAAAAAAAAAAAAAAAGGTGGCAGCTGCCGTGGGCGATGGAGTTGGTTAACTTTGTTGTTTGTCTAGGAGGTGTCAGTGTTGATTAGTGCTAAAATAAGGTGGTGTTTGGCCTAAAAACTAGGTGCAATTGTTATAAGGTGATGTGATGGCACAATGCTATTGGTTGTTGAGATTGCACTTGACACATTAGCAACAGCTACTCAAACAACCAAACTACGTTATTTAATTAAAGGGCAATTTGGTAATCCTAACATCTCTGGCGGCATCTGGTGATGGAGACATTTAATTTCGTCTTTAAATTGCACTTTTTACAGAGTACAGGGGGCTTAACTTAGGTCAGGGGGTTTTGTGCTTTTGGTTAATAGTTCAGGGGGTTTAATGCACTTATAACTTTATTACTCCATACAAAACACTATCGTACAACACACTGATTTAACATTCGATTAAAGGTAGTATTAAACCATTGGAATGACCCAATGAAGATTAAACCATTCGAATGACCCAATGAAGATTTCACATTACAAAATTCATCAATCTCAGTTGCGTAGAGTCTATAAATCACTGTATTGAACATTGTCACTGGTAATATATGGTTTTAAACTGGTAATACATGGAGAGAAGAAACAGATTATGAATATTAACGAAAGTTTCACATGTGCAGTAGAATAAGTCTATCCAAAGCTTGTTAGGTCTAATAGTTTTCGGTGTATTGATACTTGTGCGACAGCTTATATTTGCAATTTGTCACTTACTTATCTGGAGACCAAAAGGTTAAATGAAGAAGGGGAGTAACAAAAGGCTAAATGAAGAAAACGAGGATATGGACTATGAAAAAACTTTTCACTCGTATCAATGCCGAAATCCATTGGGACATTGTTAACAATTATTGCATACTATGACTATGAGATTATATTAAATGGATGTAGAAGCAGTTCCTAAATAGGTATGAAGATATTTAAATGAAACAACCTGAAGGATTCATTTCTAAAGGGAAAGAAAATAAAGTATTTAAGCTTAAAAGATGCATTTATGATCTCAAACAAGCTTGTGCCTATAAAATGATCTCCAACAAGCTTGTGCTTTTGCCAAACGCACCACCAAACACAAAAGGATGCCACCCTCCAAAAATCAGGAGCTTGGGATCACACGAAACACCCTCTCTATCACTCTCCAAACAAGTCAAAAATAAGACTCCACTCACTAAAAATGATGGATGTATGTTTATCTGTCGCACTCAGATTTTTCAACCGGAGAAAAATGCAACCAACAACTATGGAAAGGGGTCAACTAATTTGTTTTGGAATATCCATCTAACATTGAGTTTTGATGTGTTAGGTCACCTAAGGATGTGCAAGGACTTTAAAGAATTTCCAACTATCAGCAACTCACTTTAGTGATGGGAGTACAAGTCATTACAAACATTTGCACGATTATTTCTGTAATTTTAACCGGGGACACTGGTTTCTCAAAAGGTTTTTGTCTGAGGGTGGAAAGGTGAGGAGGTCAGGATAATTCACCCATATAATTTTAAATGTACAACTTTAAGTACTCCAAATTAGAAAATGTGCACAGATGGTATTTTATTGGGCAAGGAGGCAGAGAGAAACCTTCCTAGAAAGGGATAATAGAAATACTTGAAACAATTTTCCTAAAAGGAAGCACTCAGATGCAAAAACATATCCATATATGTGGACGAATTTCTTGCTCACCATTGAGCAAGAGATCATTTTCGTATGTCTATATATATATACATATATATATATATTTGTTCAAGGAAAAAATGCCTTTTTTTTTTTTCATGACAAATAACTCACACATCCGCTCTTCATAAATTGTTTTTCACCAGATTTGAATTCACATGTTAAGCATGATCTTGGTGAAGGAAACTCTTGCCCCCTTATCAATGCATTTGTGCGTAGAGGGTACCACCCATAATTATGTAAAACTTCTTCATCATTTATTCATGTTCCCTATTACTCAAATTATAACAGTAATTCTATAAAATCAAAAACAATTTACCCAAAAAAATAAATTAAAGCAAAAACAAACATACTACAGTAATCAATATAAATATGTATATATATAAGCACAAATATACAAATGAACGTATTATCATGGCACTGATAGGGTAGCAAGGTTCAGTACACAAAAGCCTATGACAACAAATAAGAAAGCTGAATAGACAATGCAACACAAACCAATTAGATTTATCGGGATTTTTATAGAACCTGCCTGCTAAATACTGATATTGAAAATCCATTTTTATATTCATAATCTCGATAGCTTAATCCAAGCTACATTGCCCTTTAAGTAGACAAGGTATATCTATTCATTTCAAAAGGTAAAAACAAGTATAAAAACAGAAGCATTCAAATTGAAAGTTAGACCTTAGGTCAAGAAACATAGCACAGCAATAAGACCAGGATGATACTCCATAAAACTGCCACTTAGAAAAGAGAAGTCCCCTTCCCCTCCTTATCTCCACCAATCTCAAAATGCTTGCACCTCTGCAATAAAAGGGCAACAATCACATGTCCATAAAGAACAAGAAAGGAACACTTAAGGAATCGAAAACAAAAGAGCAAATGGAAGTTGAGAAGCTAACCTTGATTGGGTGCTGTGATACATGCTTGAACCCCTGGCATTGCAGCCTCGGCACAATCTTCTTTGTAGTTTTCGCCTACACAGAGAAAGCAATGTTGTAAAATTTTTCCCTGGCTAAATTTATAAGATAGGACCTTCATGGGGAAAGAAGTGCATAGGTTAGTTAAAACGTGGATGAGGGTCATTTCAAATAAGATACATACCTTGTGAAGTAAAGAGACATAATAGAAATAGGTTTTACCTTCTTGTGGAAAATAGGTTTGGTTTGTCCACCATAACCTGACTGTTTCCAATCATACCGGCACTTGCCTTGCACAGCCAAACTATCCTTTCCCTTCTTGTACTGCGTAATCTTATGCAAGGTGTGCTTCCGGCATTCCTTAGACTTGCAATATGTCTTCTTTGTCTTTGGAACGTTCACCTGCAAGAACAGATCATATTACATCAAAATGGAAATAGGAAAAATTAATGCTAAAAATGTGCAATCTGGTAAGAGAGAATTTTCATTCATGCTTTTGCATCTAAAAACTAGGAAATAAAAATGATAGGGATCTCACCTAGAAGTTTCAATATTATAGACACCTCATAGTTAACTAAGAACTTGGAAAAAACAATGGGAACCAATAAAATCAATGGAAACATAATACAAAAAAATCATAACACACTCACAATTCATAAGAATTCCATGAAACACACAAGTTAGCTCATGGAGCATGCTTATTGGAGACGTTGCAATATATGTCAAGGAGCCCTCAGTTGAATGTGTACATAAAATATACGAGTCCAAAGGCAGGGTAAGAAATGGTTTAGCTAATGGACAGAGCAACTCTTCTACTCTTCCAGAACCAGTAACAAGTAAACCATGTCAAACCAAGACTAGAGCAATCAATATCTGAACAGAACTGATTCAAAGTTCACCTAGAATGGTTTCTGCTGTGAAATGAAAGTTATAGGATATATATATATATATATACATATATATATATATATACAAGAGTAATTCAAAGGAGAAACATAAATATCTGATAGAATTCGATTCATTTTAGTAATGACCCATCCGAACCACAACTGAACATTTGGAGTGGGGGGTGGATTGAAGCTATACCATATAAAGCTCTTAGAATTTCTGCCACTACAAATCATATACCTTTTGACCAACTTTTTGTCTTCCATACAACAACTTATTTTTGCTATGCAGCCATCATAAGCAGCTGTTTGCTACATATGTAATGACTAATGACTAGTGCCTTATTGAGAAAATCTAGTATACAGGGCTGTATAATAAAGGAAAGCCCAATGAGGGTCTGGAAGACGTGCTAAGATGATGATACACACAACTTTATATACTTCCACCGTATTGAACAGACAATATCACTGTTAAATATAAATCCCTGCTGGCAGCTGTAAAAGCTGATTGTAGAGAGATGCCTGAGAAATTCAATAAGTAGTCAAAGGAGAATAATGTTGAAGTGCCACAAATTCCAGCTTCCATATCTTTTCAAATATGATAGAATTATGTGCAACTGATTTTCAATCTATATCAATCCAGCACTTCTAATATTGGAAAATGGAGCTTCATGTTAGCATATATGATACCACAATTTATGGTATGACTAACCATAATAGTAGAGATTTGACTATACATATGTTAGCATATATGGTAGCCACTATTTATGGAATGACTTACCATAATAGCAGAGATTTGACTATGCCATAGAATATGCTTTAGAATAAGTTACGATTTAATTTAGATTTAATTTAGTTTTCTTTCTTATAATATGAGCATATGCTCATTTTATCTATAAATACTAGAGCTATGAACAAGTAATTCATATCATTCAAGCCTTTACACAATTCTCTACTTTTTATATTTTTACTTGGTATCAGAGCCAGGGTGGTCCGACTACAATGAGCGCATTGCGAGTTCGGCACCACCCATTTGGGAATGGTCTAATGTGACATCGTCCATCGTGTTGCGAGTTTAGCACCACTCATTCAAAAATGATCTGACGAGACATAGTTATTTTTTTTGTACGGTCTGAGGAGACATTATTGATTCTTTCATCTATATGGTTTAAACATACGTATGAAGGGGAATGGTCTGAGGAGACATTGTTAATTCTTTCACCTACATGTCTTAAACATGCGAAGAGGAATGGTCTGAGGAGACATTGTTGGTTGTTTACGGTCTGAGGAGACATATTGTTGGTTGTTTACAATCTGAGGAGACCTATTGTTGTTTGTTTACGGTCTGAGGAGATGAGGTTGGTTGTTTACGGTCTGAGGAGACATTTTTGGTTTGTTGATCGACATTTTTAATCTAGTCAAATTTGCACTCTGCAACTTGTAGATTCTGAAGAAGAGTGCTAGCAAGACAATGTTTGAAGATGTGTTGTCCAAGTTAGGCATTTCAAATATCCACCCACCAACTTGAGGGGGAGTGTTAGCATATATGATAGCCAAGATTTATGGAATGCCTTACCATATTCGCAGAGATTTGATTTAAATTTGATTTAGTTTCTTTTCTTGTAATATGAGTATGCGCTCTTATTTTATCTATAAATACTAGAGTTGTGAATGAGTGATTGATATCATTCAAGCCTTTACATATTATAGATCTCATTCAAGCCTTTACACAATTCTCTCCTTCTTTTTGTATTTCTTCTTGGTATCAGAGCCAGGGTGGTCCGACAGCAATGAGGGCATTGTGAGTTGGGCACCACCCATTCGGGAATGGTCTAATAGCCATCTGAGAGGTGTCGGGTAGGCAGGGTGATTCGACCTCAATGAGGGCGTTGCGAGTTTGGCATCACCCATTCAGAAACAGTCTAAGGAGACAATTGTTTCTTTTTTATGGTCTGAGGAGACATATTTATTCTTTTTTATGGTTTGAGGAGACATAGTTGTTTCTTTTTTATGGTCTGAGGAGACGTTATTGATTCTTCTTTCATCTACATTGTTTAAACATATGCATGAAGGGGAATGGTCTGAGGAGACATTATTGATTCTTCCATCTACATATTTTAAACATGTAAAGGGAAATAGCCTGAGGAGACATTGTTGGTTGTTTATGGTCTGCGAAGACATAATTGGTTATTTATGGTCTGAGGAGACATTTTTTATTTGTTGATCGGCACTTCATTTGAGAGAAAATCATTGCTAGTTAGATTTTCACTCTGCAACTTGTAGATTCTTACAAAGGGCGTCTGCAAGATTATGTTTGAGAATGCAATGTCCAAGTTGGGCGTTTCAGATATCCACGCACCAACTTGAGGGGGAGTGTTAGCATATATGATACCACGATTTATGGTATGACTTACTATAATAGCACAACTTAGTTTCCTTTCTTGTAATATAAGCATGTGCTCATTTTATCTATACATACTAGAGTTGTGAATGAGTAATTCATATCATTCAAGCCTTTACACAATTCTCTCCTTTTCCACACACACAAAGAATCTTTGGGAACTGATGACTCCTAGCCCAACCTTAGAACGGGAAATGAAGAGTGATGGAGATCAATGGCAGAAATCTTTAAAGGTGTATTTTTTTTTATAAGTAAAAATATATTAGAAAGACATTCAAAAGGGGAACGCGTTCCTAATACACAAAAACGAAAGAGCAAAAGCCAAACCTATGGACCAACAGAGTCCAATAGAACAAAAAAGTCATCGATCGAGGAGCAAGCGCTGCCTCTGACATAACAGGAAAGAGAGCGTAGGATAAAAGACTTAAGGTTTGCAAAAGACGATTCCTTCCCTTCAAAGTTTCTGTTATTTTTCTCTCTCCAAATACACCACCAAACACAATGTGGGGCGACCCTCCAAAAATCACGAGCATGACCAGAAACAGGGCATCTTCTCCAAGCATTAATTAATTGGAAAGAGTGCTTAGGCATTACCCACTGAACCCCAAAAATACTGAATATGAGATTCCAACAATCAGAAGCAACAGGACAATGCATAAGAAGATGGTCCACGGACTCACCATCATTTTTACAAAGACAGCACCAATTAACAATGGTATTACCTCTCTTACGCAGATTATCCAAAGTTAGAATTTTTCCCCAAGTAGTCGTCCAAACAAAGAAGGCAACTCTAAGAGGAGCTTTAGAGCGCCACACTTCCAAGGGAAATCATATCCAATAAAATTAGACAAGCACAAGAACATGGATCGAACTTCGAATCTACCATGAAAAGAGGGAGTCCACAAAATATCATCACAACCTCTGCCAACATCTTTCTGTCTATATGGAACGAACATGGCATACGCTAGATAATATGGGTCCACATGGAGTTTTGAATAATTAGGAGATTTGGTCAACTTTTAGTTACTTTAATTATGCTATTAGGTAAGTATTCATTACCTTAATTATGGGGTAATCATAGAGTCAAATATTGATTACCTCAATTATGGAGTGATTACTTTTATTATGCTATAGAGTCAACTTTTGATTTCCTCAATCATGGGGTAATCTCACGGTCATAAGTTGCTATAAGAAGGGTATGATGTAAACTTCGTGAGGCAATGAATGAATGAATAAAAATATCCTTTGAGATTTCTTTGTGAGTGATTCATAAATTCCGAGAGTGTAAGGACTTCTCTAGGTGTGATACCTAGGTCTTGTTGGAGTGATTCCAATAGGTTTTTTTGTTTTCTGTGTGTGATGGCAATAGGATTTTTCTTATTTTCAAATCCTTTCCCTCTCTTGAACCATAATCTATTTTTCTCACCCTGTTGGTTGGCCAATAGGCAGCTCGTATTCTATTCTCCTAGATTTCCTACATTTCTACTATCAAACCTCCCAAATTTCAGCCCTAATTTTTTGAACTTTCAGCCTCTGAATTCTTTAAGTTCTTAACTATTTAAGGCGGCTCCCTTGTCCAACATCAAAGAGACAAAGGAAAAAGCATCTTTTTATTAACCAAATTGAAATCCAACCCACAAAGCAATATGTCAATATGATTTACATTGAGTCCGGGACCAACACAAATTTGACCATTAATTCCTTGGATTTTATGACTTCAGAAACTACCTCTTCAAAATAAAACATAAATAAAAGGAATACATATATATATATATATATATATATATATATATAGGTGTGATGGACACAACCCACACCCATCCAAAAGAAGTAGAAATTAAAAAATTGAAAAACAATTACCTGTATAAGAAAGAGTAAATCCATAACCATACAGAAATCAATGGCTGGACAAGACACACTACTGAAAGGACAATGCCTCTACTTCCATTAATAATTAACAAGATATGTTCTAGAGGCACACCAAATTGCCAGTTGAGGTCAACAATGAAAAAGCAGTTACAAGTTCATAAAAAATCTACAATATTTTACTTATAAAAAAAATCTACAATATTTGCGTATTATTAACGATTCCCTGCACTTTGAATATATCAGGT